CCCCCCCCTCCCCCCTCCCGCGGCCGCCACCGCCATCACCGCAGATGGACAATCGCGCTCCGCCGCCCAAATGGCCCTCTTCCAAAATGAGGTGGCACTGATGTGGCTGCTGCGCGACCAGCCCGGCCTCGTGCGGCTTTACGGCTACAGCGACAGCCCGCCGTCCCTGGTGATGGACCTCTACCAGGCGGATCTGGCGACGCTCCTCCACTCGGAGATCACACTGTCAACGCACCAGGTCCTGGGCATGGTCCAAGATTGGGGTGCGCATCGGGGCCGCGTGGCAGTCTTCCTGCCGGCGCGCTCCCTCCATCCATTCCCCCCCCCCCCCCCCCTGCCCCGTCGTGACTAACGTCCCATCCCCGCGGTCCCGCTCCCAGCCACCGGGCTCGAGGCCATGCACGCGCACGGCATCGCCCACTGCGACATCAAGCCGGGCAATGTCTTCGTGCGACAAGAGCACCCGGCTGGGCCCTGGCGCGCGGCCCTGGGCGATCTTGGCACCTCGCGCAATCTGTCGACCGAGCGCTCCAGCGCGCTGACTGTCACTCCGCCGGCGCTCAATGCCCTGACCGCACGCTATGCCGCGCCCGAGGTGCGTCCGTGCCCCGGCCCCCTCAAGCGTGCGGGTTGCCCCATTGGCAGGCCACCCGCCCGGGGGAGCACAGCCCCTCCTCCTCGTCCTCCCCCTGCCCGCCCACTTCGTGCCACTCGTCTCACCTGTGTTCCCCTCCCCGCGCCCCCCCCCTTTCCCCTCCTCCCTGCGGGGGGAGGGACAGCCGGGGGCGGCGGGTAGGGGCCCGGACAGGGGGGCCTGGGCCGCCCCCCCGCCCCTCTTGGCCCGGCGCAAAAATAGGTGTTCGTGGCGTTCGACCGGAAGCAGGCCCTGGAGAAGGATCTCTGCCTGCAGGCGGACATCTACTCGGCGGCGCTGCTCCTGTGGGAGTGTCTCTCAAGGCAGGTCCCCTGGCAGGGGCTGGACTTCGCCGGGATCTCGGAGGCCGTGCAGACGGGCGTCCGGCCAGAGGTGGGCCCGGCCGTGGCCGCGGTTGCAGGCCCGCAGGCCGCCTCGCTGGGGGACCTACTTTCGCTGTGCTGGGACACGGATCCCCAAACCCGGCCATTGGCGGCCTCGCTGCGCCAACGGGTGTCCATGGCGGCCGTGTCTTCGGGGCGAGGGTGCGCGGCGGCCGGGCCGGGGGCGGGGTTAACCCAGCCGTCGAGCCCAGTGTAACCCAGATGGACATATGCTGTTAGGGGCGTGCGTGTGTGTGTGTGGGGCTCCTCCGTAACTCAGCCCCCTGGCATGGTGGGTCGGGGTGCCGCGCGCGTGCGCGCGCCGATGTGTCATCGGGGCGGAGCGGATGTGTGCGCGCGCGTCGAAGAACAGACAGGGGAAGAAAGACGGGCTGGGGGGCGGGGCGACATTAACTGGGCGGGGCAGACCGGGCTCCGTCTGGCGTCGTCACCTGGCCGCCCTGTTTTTTCCGGGCTCGGGACGCAGGGGCCGCGCGGCCGGGGGCGGAGCCCGAACGGGTCGCGCTGGGGCGGGGGCGGGCCTGCGCGTGTGCGACAGCGCGGGCATTTTCCCGGGGCCACCCGTGCCCCCGGGCCGGGAGGCTGGGGCGTGCGTGTGCATGTGCATGCGTGTGTGTTGGGGGGGGGGGGGCCGGCTCACGGCGGTGTACGGGCGCACTGGGCCTACAGTCACCTTGCACGCTTACTATAGCATTCCCATGCTGGTATATAGGACTGCGGGCTAGCACATAGTTAGCTCCCGGGTCTGGCTTGGAGTGCAGGTGTCGCCGGATGGCCTGGAAGGGTCCGTGGGTAACTCTTCCTGACCGGTGGGGGGGGGAGGGGGGAGGGAAGGGAGAGAGCGAG